AGCACTGCTGGGAACTGGCCTTCAGCAGAATGGGAGTGGCAGCAGTGGCAATTTTGCCACCTACAAATGACACAGAGACAGAATAAGAAATATTCATTGCCCCTTTGCTAGGGGATGCTATGTCAGGTTTCTCAGAAGAGTCCTGAGCTCCACGGACAGGACGAAGCAGCAAAAGTGAGTGTCTCACCTGGCTCCTCTGGAAAGAGCCTTCCAGATGAAAATGAAGAGTCTAACCCGCCTCAGAAAGGGAATCAGGAAAAATCACGGTGATGATGAAGGTAATAAGAAACAAAGGTGAGAAGAGAAAGGCATGCATCGGAACATGAACATCATTTCTAGATCTCAGCCCTTGCCTGGGCTGTAATTCTAGTTCTATTATTGACAGTGCACAGCAGAAGGGGGTTGTAAACATCGCCAAGATCCTAACTCTGTATTTTACTGAGTTGATGAAAGACACTTTAGCTGCTGCATAATGGAGCTCCTAGAAGAAATATTCTCAGCCATTCCACACCCTCATTGTTCCAATTAAAGGCTGAACAAGCTTTAAGCAAATGGTATTTGCAGAAAATAAACATTCCAATTGGAAACATGTATATGTATACATATGTATATCCCTTCATTATTTAAAGGAAAGGAAATGTACCTAGGCTTCATCCATGTAGCACCAAGGAGAAAAAGTAGAAAATCAAAAAATGCAAACTTCTCTCTTTCTGCACTTTCTAGAATTGTTCCTAAAAAGAGCAGTTTAAGAAAATCTCGAACCCTAAAGCCAACTCCCAAGGATGCAAATTCAGGCATGTGGTACCATTGGCAGCCCTAGGAAGAAGTAATTCACAGATGCCTAGGAGGTGCCACCTCACCTGGCAAAGTCAACTTCTATTCTACCACCTCTGGTTGAGTCACCCAGCAGCATAACCAGGTGCCAGCCATGGTGAACTGCCCTGTGAAACAGCCAGCAGGTCTTTCGTGGCAAGGTGGCTTTGTTCCTCCCACCTTACTGTGTCTGACAATTGCACTCCATCCTGAATCTGCCCAGTTACCCTGATCGGATCTGCAGCTTAAAGCATTGGGAGTCAGGAAAGAAAGAGTAACCCCCAACTTTTTGCCACCAGACCTGAAGCATGACAAACCTCAGGCATGTCAGGCTGCAGTGGAGGGCAGCTAGCAGTGCTAAACCAGCCAGCAGTAGCTGCAGCTGAGAGCATGCAGGTGACCTTCACTGCCTCCAGGTTCCTTGGCTCTGGCTGTTGTAGTCATGCTTGAGCTCTCTGCTGTTTGACTCAAGTATTTGCACTAATCAGCAAGCCTTGCCTCCCCTCCCTAAGCATGAAAAGCATGCATGGACTGGAGATAGCTGATGGCTAGGAATTCTGTCTTTATGCAGAAAGACAAAACCACAAAGAATTTGCTTTCACAAAACCTAAATTTATTTTTGAGAGCATCTGAAATCTGAATAAGCAAGAATAAGCATCTGAATAAGGCTATTCTTTAGATACTTAAAAACCTCATCCCGAAGCCGTCAATAGGCTAGGCTCATAGGTCTTCTCCTTGAGAGATGTCTGTCCTCTAAACAGAGAGATACTAAGTCTTACCTCTAAAACTTCGATAATTGGCTGAATAAAGACTCATTGTTCATTTGGAGATAACAGGAAGCCAAAATTCTGCTGCTGGATCAAATTCTTTACTCTTTATCCCTTAGTAAAGCCTTGAGCTACATTAATTTGAGTTCTAGATTAGAGTTAATACAGGAAAATAAGACCAATAACGTTTGACATAAGTAGAAGCTGCCTGTTTACTTGATATAATTTAGAATAAGGATACAAACTGTCCTAGTTAGGAATAGTCTCATCACCACAAAGGGGAAAATATTTTTTATTATGAAATTGCCATATTGAGCGTTTAACTTTGCTTTCAGTTAGCATGTACCTGAATACTGGGTTACTGTTTTAATCTGAAGTTGCTGTTTTAAAAAAAATAAATAAATAAGGAACAATGTTTCAAGCAGAAGACAAAGGAGAAATTATCTTTTTAATGTCAATCAATAATGCAACAGCCAGCACTGAAATAAACTTTCCTTCTCTCCCTAAACTTAAATGTGGGGGTTTGGAACTCCTCATGTACATTACTGTTTGAAAAGCAGAAATAATCAGTTTGGAAAAGTACAAGAAAATATTTATTTAGATTAATGGATTTTGCAAACACTGGCAAGAATTTATTTTAAAATAACCTGCTCTTTTAAAGTGTATAACCTCTTTAAAACTATACACTAAATCTTCCATTTTAAAGTTTCCCCTGCCTGTTGTGTATTTTAGCATAAAACATATAACTCAGATGTCCACCTGCTGATATTAAAAAAAATAAAATCAGTTGCTTTAAAAATAAATAAATTAATTTGGTCAAAATTATTGGAATAAGAAGAGAACTGTGCAGGTACGTTTTTCGCCTTCACAGCTTGTCCTTCTATGCAGACACTTGATCCAGTGAAAAACCATAGCATTTGTGGGTTCTGCCCATAAAAACATTTTCAGCTTAGTTAACCAACTCTGGACTCTTACTTATTAAGCTGGTGGAAACCTGGGTGTGTATTTGTCACTTACTTAAGCCCAGCTTAAATTCACTTAAGCTAAACGTAGCTAACTCAAGTCTACTCATGTATTTATCCTTAATCAGTAGGTAGTGCATTTATATAACGTATGCTAAAGCATTGCATATAATATATATAGTATATATATTTATATATTATATATATATAATTCTAGTTAAATATCAGTATATGCTTACATATATATTAGGTTTTAATTACATTTATTTTTTTTCCAGCATAATGTAGAAATTAGCTTACAATACACTGCTCCAATCTCTCCAACTTGTATATTATTAGACTATTTCTGAATTAAATATCTACAACCAGATCCAGCATCTTATTTTATTTATTTATTTATTTTATTTTATTTTTTTTAACACTTAAAGGACCTAAGTCTTGTCATCTTAGAGGCACTTCACTTGACAGTTGTCAAATCTGCTGATTTAAGAGCAGCATGTCCCAGCATCACAGGGCTGGATAAGGAAAGGCTGACTGACGCAGACTCAATGCACGAGATCAGGCCTCAGATTACCTTGGAGACCCCACCTGCAGCATCCAAGGGAAGAAAGCCCACCGTGCAGCTGTGGTAGCTCCTTCCTGTGGAAATTTGCAAAGAGAAGCAGCAATCCCTGTCCTTTACTGGGAAAGGCCAGCAAAGCTCTTGGAAAAAACACTGAGTAAGATGAAGACATCTTGAGTAGCTTGTATGAGAGTTTTTCCCAACAACCACCAATGAATGTTTGCTTGAAGCTTTTATATATAAATGCTAGCTGCTGTGCTAATTTTTAGCTCACAGAACAGATCTGTATAATTCTTCATTGTTTTAATTAAGTCCTTGGGCTGCAAACATATTTTTACCTGGTGTTGTAGATCAATCTGCATCATCAGCCTTTAAAACCCACAAAAACGTTAATATTTTTATAAAATTGTAACCTTTGTAAACACTCGTAGCCGAATTTTACCATCCTATGTACCTGGGGACTTTCAGGCTTTCTTACCTTTTGGCATCTAAGTACTTCCAAAAATCTGCCCTGTTTCTCCTCTGAGAAGTTAGTTGCTTTTTTCAAGCCCTACTTGCAAGAAACAAGTGATCCTACTGAATTACTACTTCTATGGCAAGCATGGGTGTCACATAAGCTGGTAGATTCCTTTCTCTACAACTAAATACAGCAACATCTGCAGCCTGGAATGCAGCCAGTGTCCCACCCTCCCAACTCAGCGTAATTGACATTCCCCTGCAGGCACTGTATTTCTTCTACACAGAAAACAAAGAAATTGATCTTTTTAACACACAGTCATTTGCTACGTGAGCTTTTAAGCTAAATATTCTCCTTCCCTTTTGCTGTTTTCCTACTAAAGCATTTTGAATCACACTGCTTTAGTATTTAACGATTCTAAACAGGTCTCTTCTTGTTCTGTTGCTTTCATGCATGTGTATTAATGTTCATCCCTTACATCGAACTGCAGATAAAGCTCCCTTTATAGCTAATGTAAAGCTACATGATAAGGCCAAGTGTTGTAGCAAACATGCTCTGCTAGTTAAATGCACACAATTCAACAAGCCTTTTCAAGTTTTGAGTAGAAATTGTTAAGCCACTCACAAGTTATAAATTACTTGGATTAGCTGCTGTAATAAAACCAACTGCTGCCAGGTATATTAATGATCAGCAGAATGGTTCTAAGAATCCTACCTGGGGAAAGTGAGAGTCTTCAAAAGACGTTTAGATGTGGAACTTAGGGATATGGTTTAGTGGGGACTGTTTGTGTTAGGTCAGAGGTTGGACTCGATGATCTTGAGGTCTCTTCCAACCTAGAAATTCTGTGATTCTGTGATTTGCACAGTAGCATAAAATCATATTTAATATGCCTGCAGGTCAGTATCGATTAATTGATCCAGGAATATCCTTCCATAGATATGGCAAACTTTAGCCTCACCCCTCAGACTTTAAAAAAAAAAAAAAAAAAAAAAAAGGCATGTTGTTTGTTAGTTCTTACCATATTTTGAAGAACATATGAGCAATTAATACTTAATTTCAGGAACATGTGTCACCACTACTACCAAAAGCATTAGTCTTACCATCACCATGCTGGTGACAAATGTGTGACCCCTTCCTGTACCAGTACAAGCGTTTGCATGGCCATTCAGTGAAACAGACTAAACTGGTCTGATCCAGGCCAGAACTAATCCAGGAAAGACTCATGAAGAAGCACAGAGGATGACGCTACGCAAACATGAGCAATAAAGAATTAATTTTCTAGTTCTTCAGTAAACAGTTTTAAGTTTCCAGTTTCTCTCAGATAAAAGTATTTATTTATCCCCACACTGAAAACAGATTAGGAGGACTGACCAATTAATATGGTGCTTTCTAAAACAAAACCAAAATGAAACAAATGAAAAAAACACAAGCAGAAAACATGATTCCTTTTCTCTTTTATTGATACTGCCAATGTGACTACCTTTACGCAGGCAGATTGCTTTCCTACATTAAACACTTTTTGTATTAATTTGGAAGTAACATTTTGCCCTCTATGTCTCCTAAGGTTATCCAATTAACACACAGTTATACTTTAAGAATCAGTTTCCACATTTTTCTCTTTAACATTTTTTTCCATATCTGTGTAAAGGTTACTTGGCAAGAATACATGCATAGGACATTAAATGGAGACCAATCCACCACTAAAAGGTAATGCACATAGAACATAATACAGTACTTCGACATCATTTCAAATAAATACCCACATACAAATGTAGTAATTTTAAATGCAACAATATTTCTTATGAATCAATACTGTAACAGAAGATGGAAATATTAAGTCCCCACATCTAGGAATAATAATGTCTGTGTGTTTTTGCTTTTTTTTCCAGCAAACAGAAATCTTTTCCCACTGTCAATATTATTTCAATTTGTACTTTTTTTTTGAGGAGTGGGAAGGCTCCCCCCCAGCAAGTATCAATTTAATCATTCATGTGAGCCTCAACAAACAGCACCAGAGAGGTAGGTACAGCTTGTTGATGCACTTCTGTTTCTGTTTCCTGAAATTACAATGATTAGATATAACATGCAAGAGAAGATATTAATGTTTTGTTGTTCACATTTGCAAACAATACTATGGTTAACTGCATCCACCACCAAACAAAGCTAACATAACATCAATATTCCCAATACGCTCTCTGTACTGTTACCACAAATGTGTTAATACATCTTGCTCATCTGTTCAACATGAGTCCATTTGGTTCCCAAAGTGTATTCAGGTTTGTTTATTTTTCTCCCCTCTATTCCCCTGAATTTGCAAGGATTTGCATGATGAAATATCATTGACTAACAGAATTTTTTACAATTCCTTGAATATATAATCTCTATTATAATAAGACTACCCATTAAAAATGTGCGAAGGGGGAGTTCACTTTGCACTTATTGCTCCACATCTTGACTAAATTCCAAAACAGCCATTCCATTTCTTTGTGTGTAGACCTAGCTATTCTAAGATTCTTCCTTAAAATGATTAAAGGCACTACTGGCAATAATTAACGACAGAAAGGCGCTGATATGTAACACCCTATCATTGACAACTTTAGAATTTTTCTTTCTAAATGTACCATAATTTGGCACAATAAAAATGAAAAAGTAACAAAACAATTCCAATTTGGAATTTAACTGGTACAGTTGTATAAAATTCTGTTAATCAATAATACTTCAACTTCCTAAAACCCAGGAATTCTGGAATTTATAGGTAATACTACTTATTTAATATTTTTCAAGTGCCTATTACTGTTTTAACCAGAGCAAAGTCAAGTTTTCTTCTTGTTACATTGAACTATTCCTAAGAATAATAATACAATATGAAAAAAACCCCAGAATTTGAATACCCTGGATTTCTTAATGAACATGGCAGTCAAAAAAAAAAATCAGTAATTTAAACATATAAAGCTTAATATTTCATAACAAAAAAGCTGCTGAAGCACAGCACACACATAGTTTAGCAGAGCTCCTGTTTTTTTTTTTTGTTGAAACTCTTTTCTAAACACATCTAGAGCCAAAAAAAAAAAAAAAAAAAAATCTCTGCCACATGCTGATGTAGAAATCAACAGTCACAAGCTGAAGTTGAAGAGAAACTATAAGCACAAGCCACTGCATTTATATAAACTCTTCTACATAAGGAATTAAAGAAGCTAAAGAAAAATATCAAAATATCAAAAGTGCACAGTTTAAGAATCAGATAAAAAATGAGCATCTGCAATGAAATAAGAAATTCCCCCCATCGGAACATTTCTAGTAGATCATAAACTAATATGGTGATCATTACATTTGAAGTAGGTTTCTTCAGCACTTGTAAGTTTTCTTACTGCAGCAGCACTTATAGGTAAAGCTTGTTTGTTTTATAGCTCGAGATATAAAAGAGAAGTTTCAGGTAGTATATAGGAAAAGGTGTTCTCAAAAGTTAGGATCAGGTCAGTGGTTTGCATTCTTTGTGCAATGGGCTACCACTTTTAACCATAATGAAAGAGGGTAAGAAATGTTGTTGCACTGTTGGAAAGGCCTTCTCCATGGACTATTCTACAGCTGAAAAATGGAAGAAAAACAAAGCATTAGAAAAAAAAACTGTGTTTATTTCTCAAAGAACTGACAACTTAATACAATGTGCTGCAAAAGCTCCATAGCGGGTTAGTCAGTTGAGGGTATCTGTTAGCTTACTAGGGATGAAGCAGCAAATTTAGCTCAAAGATGCTTTCCAAGCTGATGAAACAACGTTTTATGAGTTTAGCCTGGAAGCAATAGCTTTGCAGAAAGAAAGTTTCTTACAAGTACTGAATAAAGATATGCTGTTCAAGCACAAGCTAACAGCAATGAATGTGCAAGAAACATTTTCAGTGAAGCTTTAGGTTGTCCAGAAACATGCAGGTCAGTGTATCATGCAGGCCAATGCAAAGAGCAGTATCATTCAGAACAGCCTGCTTGCAGAGGTAGGTGACAGCTTAAGAAATTTTCCATGCTTTAGCCCAACCCATTGAAAGTGATATGAAAGACTTACAGCGAATGTACGTTTTAAGAAATTGTTAATCAATAATTACAAGCCTCAATCTTAAATATAATCATCATCTAAAAATACAAACAGCAGGATCAAGTCACCTTACCACCATGGCTCATTTCTTTTTCATAACAGGTGCTAAAAGTTTAACCATAACCTTATCAAGCTCAAGCAGCAGTAAGGTTTGTCTTTCGTTTTTAATTTATAGATCCACAGAAATGAATGAAGGTAGAAACGATTACTAAGACTATTGTGCTAATAGCAAAATTGTTCATTCTTGGAACTGAAAAGTGGGAGCCGAGACCAATAGTAATAGTCACTGCCTTGATAACATTGAAATCATTCTATAAAGTTCCAGTTAATTTGAAAAAGCCTACCAATGCATTCAATTAGTTTCTCAAATTTACTTTTTTTTTTCCATAAGTATTTAGTGAAAATACTGCCAGAGACACAGATGCGGTAAAAAGCTCCCTATCATAGTGGAAGCAAAATTGTAACTGTTTCTACTGGAGCAAGGAAAGTTAGCACTCAAATGCCTGCTTTTACAAAGTATTTTTAAATTACACTTAATGCAGGAATGAGAAGAATAAAGGCCTTTTGGAAGATTGTGCAGCAAAAAAGAGAAAGCAGGATTGAAAATTGTTAAAAGATGTCTTGCTTCTAAAAATATCAAACCTGCTACTTAGCAATATTAAAGCTCAAATTCAGGAGAATTCAATGTTTTCTTAAAAAGTAATAACAGACGCACAGAGCCTATTTTCTAAGGCCAGAATTACTATTAATTTAAACTTCAAGCAACGGTATGTTTGAGCAACATAACGGACTTAAATCACTTGGGTTTTTTCCCCCCCTCTCAATATCGTCAAATGTAATTCTGGCATTTGACTGAGGCATCCTCATGTTTATCAGCTTTGCAGCAAAGTTTCCACAATTCCATTTGAAGTCTCATTGTAGGAGTTCCTAAGTCTTTTTTTCTTCCCCCACTTCTAATATCTGGGAAGCTGAAATCCCAAGTGGTTTCCCCTCACTGGGAAAACAAGCTGTGCTCCTTATTACCTTATATTAGTATTGTGATATCTCCTGACTACTTATAGGCAGAGCGGCAATGCACAGGAAGCAAGCTGCTGATCATCTATAAGAAATGGTAGTGAGATGAGGCAGTACCACACCAGGAATATTAGAATGGCTTTATAAAACATCACTATCAAGCAGACAACTGTGCAGTCTCGCATTGCTTTTAAGTAATACTATAGGCATACAAAATTATCTGAAAGAGTACAAAATGAACAGGGCTTTACATTAAAATAAAGTTTGAGGCTAGGCACTTTAAAACTGTTTTAAAGGGGAAAAAAAGTGTGCCTTGTTGTGCTCCACAAATTTTCCACAATTTTAGAAACAACTTTTTCAATCTTTTTTCTCTTATATAGGCACCAATTACAAAGTACACTTTTATATTTTCAAACATATTGAAATTGAGTGGCTAAAAAGGCCTCTTAGAAGTTCAATAGCAGACAAAGGTTTGTTTGTCTTAAAGAATATTATGTATACTAAGCTACTTCATAAATATTAATTAGTGGATGATCTGCTCAATTTCCTGTGCCTATAATGTAGAGCCCTGTGAAACATGTTCTTGCATAATGAATGCAGTATCTTCTGTGTATTTAAAAAAAATGATCAGAGCTCTGAAATACTATCCTGTTCAGATTAATACTGAAAGCTGAGAAAATCTGTTTTGTGACTGACAATACTAGACCATAGTCACATTAGTTCTACACAGATAAGTTGTGTGGCTACAGTAATACATAAAACAGATTCTTTCCAAAGTGTTATGCTGCAAGGAGCAACAGGACACCACAAAGATCCTTTCAAGACATTATATTTTTCCACAGCATAACTTCTTCAGGTAGAACTGTCTACCAGGTAGGCTCCCAATTCGCAAAATTTTAGGTTTTATACCAGATGGGGTAAATATTGCATATTTTTAATATAAATGTGCCACTTTCTTCTGGTTAACCCTCTGAAGCGAGGGAAGCAGAGTGTAAATAATGTAACCTACCATATTTTTTTTCCAGCTTTTATTACCTGTAAAAGCTTTAGTATGTTGATAAGTGGTGATATGACAGCAAGTTCTTAGTATCTGCCATAACAGGCAAATTAATTTTGGTTCCAGTTTCAAAATGTTCTGAGTTTTCGAGACATACTTCTAATCTTTACACTTGCTTTTTACCACATGTGCTTTTCACCACTACTTAAGTCACACTAGCAAGGGAAGTTTTCTGTTTGCTTCTGTCTGTGAAAGCATTTATTGAAGTCTGCTGCAACCCTGGAGAAAGGATCACATTTGTGCTACACAAACTACAATTAGTAACCAGAGTATATCAGGTGTACTCTTAACACTTACCATAAACAGCAAAACTCATACATGTTAATTGTGGAAAAAGCTAATTCCTTTCCACTATTAACTTGTTAATACCATCCCCGTACTTATGAATTACAGTTAAGACCACCATAATACAATTTGTATTACCTGGTTTAACAACTTACTAGTACAAGCCAACTCACTGCGACATTAGATAGTGGGGATTTACGCTGACAGTTACAGCATAAAATAAGATGCATAATATGATTTTTCTACACACCTCTTCTAGTCACAATAGATTTTATATTTTTCACTACAAAACACCTGGTTATTAAGGACAGATCCTTCAGACCTGTCTCCGCAGGACCGAATATGACTTACACTAGGGTTACTGCTCTTGGCTTTGGAAGCAGATTTTGTGCGCACCCTTTTGGACTGCTCGTGGTCTAGCTCCAAATGCTCCAGACGCTGGGTCAGTGCCAGTTTCTGCTGGATAGCCATCCGAAGCAAGGAGTTCAGAGTCTTCTTCTCATCTTCAGCTGCTGCAAGCTGACGCTGCATTTCATCCAGCTGTGTGACATATTCATCACATCTGCAACGAAATATATCAATTTTTAGCAATCCCGTTTCCATCTATAAAACATGAATCCCTTATGTCCAGCAGGTATTAGCAAAGTCTGAAAATTTTGCAGTTGTTTGCATAAACTCTGTTATTCAGTGTGTATGAACAACAGAGAGGATATACAGGAACTTCAGCCAACCTGTACAAAGTTGCCATTATTCTGTGGGGACCATAGAGTCCCACACTCAGCACTTACAATTAATACCATCCCCAGATAACAAAAGTACGGAGCCTGGTATAAACTAGTCCTGCCTAAAGATGAGTAAGATGTCCTACAGCTAACCCTCCTGATGCAGGGAATAGGCAACGCAGTCAAATTATTTCTGTCTCAAATTATGCAGAGCCTGCAGCAGCTCTAAGCTAGAGACTGCAAATAGTCAGAGAGGAACAGTAGGGTGGAGTGCTGTAAAATGGCCACAACTCAGATGGCGATTCACACTGAGTGAACAGCACCTGAACTTCATAGATTGTTACGTTACGCAGGGAATCCAATAACAAATTTCCAGTGCAGACTGAACAGCATTGTTATAATTGTACTAGAATCTACTCCAATTCCTGATGAAAAAATAGTGCTTTATTACTGCTTTCTCCATAGCAAGTGGCTTTCATAGTAGTTTTCAACATCAAAATCAGTTTTGACTTAATAAAACAAAGGAACTGAGTGTTATTAGAAACCCTGCAGGGAAGCCAAGTGTACGCCTGCAAGTTGTTTCATCTACAGTCATTTTCATTGAGCTCGGAAGCTACTTAACTTGCACAGTGCATCGTGAACAATTTAAAGAACGCGTGTCTTTACACACATGCATATTTATCGCACATAGCAGACCGGTTACAGATATGAATATTCATCTTTCTACCCATAGGTACCAGCTGGAATTTACAAATTATCTGCAGAGAAATTCCTCCTAATGAAATAATGGAAAAGCCCCTGAGTTTAAGGGACATTTACCATTGTTAAGTAATATAAGGATGACAAGAAAAAAAAAAGAAAACAACAAACTGAAGGAAACCACATTGATGTGCAGGTTCATCAGCTGCGCTTATACAATCACGTCCCCTATTCTGTTCTCCCTGACTTCAAATAGCAGAATTAGGCCTATAACCCTAACTGTATTTGCTTGGGAAGAGAACAAGGGAAAAGAAAAGAACAGAACTTCATCTTGCAATACAAATTCATACCACCACCCCTGAATCCTATCACTTGCTATTTTCTCTGCATAGTTAGACGTACTTTACGAGGCAAAACCAATCCATACACCTCCGTGAGTGGAAGCAGACAGGAAGGCAGACTGGCACAGCCCTAGGAGGTCTGAGAAGAGGAAAATTATCTTTGAAGGCATAGCAATCCTTTCTCCCCTACTATGGAAGGTGGTGTCTACCATTTTGACTTCCACCAGAGAAGCGCTATCAAAGGCAGCAAGGCACAAGTGGCACATTTCTTCACCCCCAATGCTGCATTTAGAAATAAAAAAAAATAAACAAATATATATATATATATGGTGGAAAATAAAACAGTTGCAGTAAAGCAGAGTAGGGACTTCCCACATGGTCTTGTGAGTACCCTTAATCCTCTTCTCTAACCATTTCTGGTATTACCCAAACATCTCCTGACCAGTCAGTTGTGCCAAACCTGATAGCAGGGACAAACGCTCATCAGAGCCTAGAAGGCAGTAAAGTAGTCTGCATGTGAGCTCAGCTATAAATAAAACCATGAATTTGACTCCAAATTCAAATGACTGTAGCAGTCATTACCTCATCAAGCTTTCTGTAGGACAAAGGTTTATAACATCAATAGACTGTCGTTAGAAAATGAAGCATTCAGTATTTTGAATACCTGAATTCACTTTTTCCATACATCTCTGTGAAGGAAGTTTTTCCTTCCCATCCAGCAAAAAGGAAGCGTTATCAGTAGCATGCATGCAGCTGCAATTGTTACTGTACCTGAATCTCTTTTGTACATGTGAGGGGATTTGGGAGAGGCAGGAATGCAAACTACCGTGGCTGCACCCTGAACCTGTTTTCCTGATCTTTTAGTTCAAATTAAATGATACAGCCTCAACACCAAATGTTATCTTGGTGCAGGTGTGGCTGCCCAGGGTCAGAGGGACCACACACAACGCAAAACACAGCAACAGTTTCCTTAACAAAACTGGCTAAGATTGAAACATTTGCAGGCTCTGTGTGCCCAGGTGAAGTGGGATGTGCCCTACTTTCCTCCCTCCCATTCACTAACTCCCAGTTTAATTTTCTTAACCCAAAAGTTAGCCTCCCTAAGCACCATAACATGACGTGGCTCTAACTGCTTTAGCTTAATGCAAAGCTCGCAGCAGAAGCCACAGCAGCACACTGTGCTACATGGTATGTGTAGCAACGTTTTTGTTGCTCTGCAGATAAACCAGTACAATATCCTTCCTTTTCATTATCTCATTTGCTCATGCGTTGAGCTAGTTCCCAGCTGCATACTCAATGTGAAATAATTAGAAGGTCAGAACACAAAGTGTCTTTGTTTTAAAAACACCTTTGAAAAAAATAATGGAGCTTTCATGCTTTAACAAAGAATATGAAATTAGCACATGCCTGTCGTGCATTTACATGTTCACATTTTTAAGTGGATATTGAACAGAACGCTTTGATGTTGCCAATTTTCTTAGTACAGGTAATTAACAGCAACAGACAAAGAGCTTAAGGAAACATCAACTGGATTTTTAAAAACAACGTCAACTGAAACAAACATCTACACAGAGGAAATAAATATTCTGGACATTAGATATTATGATGAGAAATAAAAACTAAATCCCCTAAAACTATCTGAAGCCAAATTATCATTGAAAATTTGAGTTGTCTCATTTTCAAATGCTGCATACCACTCCTTCTGACAAGTGCCAGTTATGCCTTATCTCTACAGATTATTTTATTTAAACTTTAGCATGTACTAAATTTGGTACCTTTTCTAGCTAAATTCACTACTGAATCAAGACTTCTTCTGCAAGTAAGTGATGGAACCAATCACACACAGATATAATTATACTACTTTCCTCTCCTCTGCAATTAGTATGAGAACCGTAAGACAATTTCCAGGAAAGCAAGACCACAAGACAGAGCCGTGACTGAAGCAGGCTTCTTGACAGAAGCATCGACTGCTTTAACTTCTACCTCAAGAGATTAAACTGCCAACCTACATAAGAAATTAGGAAATGGAGGATTTAAACTCACTATTTTTCATTAAAATCTGGGAAATGTATTAAGAAGATAAGCAATTAAAATGACATGTAAATGAACATGGAGTGAGTTAACTGTAAGGGATAGTAGCCACCTGCTTTCAACCCAAATCTTTATATTAGAAATTGTAATATTAAAAACTGAATTTTAACACCTCCTTCCCTTCCCCTCTGTCCCACCTGGAAAACCAGGTCCTCTACAAAGCAAGCAACCATTTTATATTGCCAAAGGAGGAACACAAGAGGAGGAAAAGATCTACTGCCCGGCTATCTACCATTTGGATTTGTAAGTGGAAGACTGACATTTAAATAGATATGGCATGAGCCATGAGCTACACGGAGACAGAAAGCAGAGGGCTGCCATTGCGCACTGGCAGCAGTAAACAGCCGTGCCTTCTACCAAGCCTCACTGTTATCCCACCCAGTCTGCCTGAGCTCAATAGTTTTGCATATCCATAAAAAGAATATCTTTTTTTTCTAAAATAAATAAATAAATAAAAATCCATCAAAGTAGAATTATTTGAAAGCTTAACCCTAGCATGCTTTGCTTATTTTTATTATTTTTTCAAAAAGCACGTTCCAGGCAGGTAAGTTTGCCACACACTGGTCCAAATTCAGCTGCACCAAAATTACTACAGATCCAACTGCGGGACCACAGCCCTCTGCTAGGTCAGCATCTAAAAGACTCTTTGGGAAGCATACTCAGCCCATCTCCTGCCTTAGTTTGCACAGCTGGGCACTGTGCAGACCCAGACACCAGTAAAATAAAGGACGAATCCTGAAGAAGGCAGAAGAAAGCACACCTCAGAGTTAGACAGTTCAGGATCACAGCTAAGCAAGTACAAGTATATCTACCGAAACTTTAGCCAGTTGTTCATTTGCAATTTCTTCCTCAGTACCCTGCATTAAAAACTCACCTGAGCTCTATGTTTGAACCCAATAAATGCTATGGCCTTTATTTAGATAAATCTTTGGCATCTGCACTAAGAACAGAGAACAGTTTATAACTAGCTTTAGTTTTCTAGGATGTTTAAAATCAGCCGTGAGTAATCAATGTCCATTAGTAAGAGCTATTAAAGCAAGCAATCAAACCATAAAACTCTTGTAGTTTGATGCATGTTGGAAGAACCATCTCCTGCACAGAGCAAGTGATCAGCCCCACAGAGCTGGACACCGCAGCTGTTCCGCACTTCCACTGCTAAAAACTCTCAAGAACGGATCAAGCTTTGGTGGCAAATTCAAAAGATGACTACTACTTTTTTTTAAGATGCATTTTAAAGGATAAAACTTATGATCCTATGCTGCTAGATCAGAAGTACTGTTTGAGCTATCACACATGCAGGGTGTTTTTCCCAGCTCTTCGCTGTAGCAAGTAAGGGGTGGAAGATTTAATCCTGAACTCTCCACTCCTCTCAACCACTGAATCTGTGTACACGCTTTGTTTTCTACATGCTAAGAGTGCTGAGACTGCCTATTAACTTCAAAATGAAACCAAGACATGGTTTTCTAAAAAAGACTACACAGCTACGTAAAAAAAAATTACAGATTGCAAGTAACTGCTGCTGTGGTAGTTTTCATGTAAGGCATTTTAAAGTAACCCACTTTACAATTTGATTAAAAACAGTATGTTAGACAAGCTATGTGACAGAAGCTGGCACTGTCTTTACTCCGAATATTCCTACAGCACTGCTATTGTATCACAGGAAGACCTCCTGCACTTCACTCTCCTGAACAGCAGGCATCAGCAGACTTCCAACAAAGCACCAAGGCAGGCAGGAGTCACCGGTGGTTTGAGGAGCACCTGGGAGAGGAGTGGGGACTCAGTGTTGCAAAGCAGGTGCAGGGGCTATCCACATGGAGCACCTTCACCAAGGGTGGGTGTTCATGTATCCAGTGCTACTCGCATTAGATGTTTTAATTGCTAGGCATGTTTAGAAGCTAGAGCCGGCCCATTGGTGTTACAAATGTGACTATTTGCATTTTTAGAATTAAGAATAGTTCTAAATATAAAGTTTATAAAAAGATTCTAAATATAAAGTTCATATAAAGATCATCAAATCCAACTGCCTGACCACTTCAGGGCTACCTGAAAACTGAAGCATATTATTAAGAGCGCTATCCAAATGCCTCTCGAACACTGACAGGCGCAGGGCATCAGCTACAACTATGTGCACGAAATGACTCATGTCTTCTTATAACCCATCTGGAACACTGCTGACTGCCTCTGTCCTGCCTGATGTCTCCGTACTTCCACAGGGGCGCTGGTGGCGCAGCCATTCTCTCTCCAGGTGCCACTCATCACCTCCAGATGCAGCAGCAGGAACAGGACGCACTCCACTGCTCCTGTCTGCGAATCTCATTCTGCAAATTTTCAAAGTCACATTTTCTGTGTCTGGTTCCTCTGAGAATTTATCCTACAGAATATTTTTAGGCAAGCTGAATAATTCTGCTGTGTAGAGTCCAGTGTGAAGACTCTTTAGCCATAATTCTCTAAGTCCTGTGAGGACTGCACTGTTCTCTGACAGAATTTAAGCTCCTTTATATTCTGTAGGCCTTTAAATGTCCAAAGACACAAGAATATTTCCCAAGTACTTGGAAATTTGGAAAACCAATCTGCAAGAGCTTATATGATATTGAACTGACATACATATTCATTTGAAACACTTTCTCTCCATTAATGAACAACAGCTACAGTCTAGCTTCTTTTTTACAGTCATGGATTTACTGTTCCTCCATCATAATCACCACTCGGTAATTTTAATCTAATATTACATGCAGTACATTCTAAAATTTGCCCCTTGTCCCCTCCCCTCCGCTGACTTGTTGCAGAGTTTGTCTCTCTTGTTATTTACTGTTTATGAAACACGGGGACATTACGATAACCATTAATTACATCTAGGCACATTTGTTCTTTACTTGCAAAAGCCTTTGGCTTCTGCTGGATTTCTTAATTACTGTTTTATCTTTATTTTAGAGGAATGAGCAATGTCTGTTTTCTTATTACCCTTGCTTGTTCTCAGGCTCTGGAAAAGAAATGGAAAAAAACGTATCAGCAAACTCGATAATCCTGTGTGTTTAATCACAGACAAGAAGATGTGTCCTAAGTCACTTTTCAGAGCCAGTTTAAGTCTGTCACAGTTTTTCAGGTCAAGTGCAACTCCATGTGAATAGAACTGTTTGGTTTCCTTGCCTGACCCTAAGCAAATAAACCAGCAAGTAACTCCATCCACCACAAGACTTTGGCTGTAACCTATCACACACAAGGTACTTCTAAAGGGAAGCGCTGATGCTATCTTCTCGTAAAAGTCCATGTAGTACATAACATGCAAGTTAAAGAGTTGAGAAACTTGCAGGCTATATAAGAACAGAGAAAAACAGCACTAAAATAACAGAAAAGAAAGGTAAAAAACATTTTGTACTTTCATTGTCTATGTTTTTTGACATTTTCTATATTTAGTGGAGTTTTTTTTAAAACGTATGCTTACATAAATAAACTCTAGCAGATCGAATTCAAGGAAAAGGCTACCACAACAAAATAAAATAAACTTTGCATTTTAAAATGTAAAATTGGATGAAAAGACAGCTTAAACACAGTCTAGGATTAACTTTTCTTAGTGGATTTTCTTGGCTGTGAAGCAATGGTCAAACTGGCCCATTGCTCTTTACTGAACCACTTCATTTAGCCATCCTTTAAGGACTTTTACCTGAACTGATAATTGATGAATCGCCTGTGTACCTCTCCTTCATTTCCACTTGCAGTGTCTTCTGGAAATAGCAGACTTTCAGGTGTTCACCAAACAACTACCAGAAACCTACTGTCATCTTACTCCCTCCTTCCTTGCTGAAAAGTTGAGCTAAGCCAGCCTCAAGCTTAAATTCCATGCTGCATTTTTTCATCTGTTTAAATGCACTATTTTTCCCCCATAACCAATTTTAAGAAATGCGAGCTCTATTGCCCTTTGAAGTTTGAATGACAAATTGCTAACAGGCAACACAGAAACCTATCTTGGTCTACAAGACAAGGAAACTGCTTCACTCCCACCCCAAATCAGGACATGTTCGCTTCAAGTTCATTCAAAACACTCAGGAGAATCTGTTTGTCTAGCAAAGAAAGGAATCACACTTTCTTCTCACAGTATGTTTGAGGAAGATTAACTATGTTATCTCTAACTTGCTACTAAAACCCTCAAGTCCCCTCCTCACATTTAAGTAAGGCTTTACATGTTTCCATATTAAAAAATATTTCATTTTTTTTTAACCCTCAGGTTAAGAAAAGTAATGCACTTGAAAATTGAATTTTATTTATTTATTTATTTATTTTACACACGATGTTCCCATTAATACAAGTTCTTCTGTTTTAAATTCCTAAGTAAATAGGTTGAGAATTCCCCCAAACTGTAACCACAGCAGTGTATTTCGTATGATAAATTTTGAGAAACATCGTTTTGGGAAATACTCTTTCAAACAGCTCCTTCAACTGGTAAAGTGTGGGACCCAGATGGTATCCACAAAAGAGAAAGAAGTACCACTTGACAACTTGTAATAAAGCTGAACGCTGCACCCTAATGAACATTCATCAGGCCTTCTTGTTTATTTACATTTCGCACCACCCAAGCTGCCTGTTAGCAAGAGCAAACCTATTCAACAAAGTAAAACAGAAGAGGTGTTCAGCTTCTCTTTGCATAAACAGAGAAGTGCATCTTTCTTTCTGGTGAAGAGTTCACTAATAAACCACCAAAACGTTTGACTGTCATACAGTGACTGTAAAAGCCATTACAGTCTAATTAAGCAGATAAATTTCATTTTCAGCTCTACAGGGCAGATCTTATTCCAGCCCCCAGTGCTTTCAGTCCATTTGTACACACAATAGGGACAGGTGTGTTGAGTAAGAAAATCAGGACTTAAACAGCACAGCTACTGAATATACTTCCCTAGTACATTATGCATATCTTGATTTATTCCTTTGTGTGACAGCTTAATTTTAGGCTTCCAGTATTGTCTAGAATGCTGCAACAGTCTCTCAATAGCACCTTAATGCTGGAAGCTATTAATCTGTATTTTGCAAGTCTTCCTTTGTCTCCAGCCCCTGGTCTTACTGTATTTTTATTACTTATTAAAAATAGCTGGCAGTATTGTCAAATTAGTTGGATTATCCTGGTTTAAAAAGGAAATTAGGTCAGTTATTTTACTCCTGCCCAGCCTTCCGCTCCCATGTACTACAACTCTTGCATCCTACAAAATAGTCCGTTTCCTGTGGAAAAGACAGGTGTGTGCAGCAGTCTGCTTCACACCTCACTGGAACATAATACTGAAACAAGCATGGTAGGGTAAAGCCCCATCACTTGTTACTAGTCTCTGCTGATACAAACCTCTTGGTCAGAGCAGGAATGAGACCTAGGGCAGACTGTTCAGAGGTGCTCCTTTAGCAGGTTGGTTGTGACGGCGAAGAAATAAATCGGGCTGTTAATACTTCTGATATTTTAAACACACCTAAAACCTGTTTCCAAAACAGTTTTTGATGTTCTCTTCACCCAAGCACATTGGAATGCTCCTTCCAAACCTTACCTGAAATGGTGGCTTATATGAAACAGCCACTCCAGAGAAATGCACACAGCCAACATACAGGCTACTAACCATTTCTGACCAGAGATCAATGAGGAAAGGGGTGACAGTGCCCTAGCTGCAGTAGTAGTCTTGAGAGCTGTTGCGGCTTCTGAAACATGGGGCACACAGCAAGAAGCAATTCTTCGTGCTCCCTGCAACAGCTGCTGTCTCAGGCTAGATGCAAATCTAAGACCCAGCTGCGTACCTGCCATGCAGTGATCAGGAATACAGGTGCTCACAAGATGCTCTGTGGACCAAGTCTCCACTCATTCAGTCTCAGCTCCTTTGCTCCTGGCCCCTTATTTTTCCCCACAATAGTTACTATGTAGAACATAAGCTCAGAAATGCTAATTGTTCATTAGTAAAATAAATAACCCCACACTAAATTCCTGTTTCGTAGCAATATACTATAGCCCTACCATTTTCCTCCCTCATCAATAAGAACACATTGCAGACAAACACTGTAAGCAATGAACACAGAAAGAATCACTCCACCCTGCCCCTTACTGCATGGGCAGGGCAGCCTTGCTGCTTGCAGGCAGGATGTTCAGCTGTTCCCCCCACAAGCAAGGAATGACATTTTCCAGAGTTCAGATTTTCTTTACCTTGTAGCAAACATTGCTCTCAGGGAAGAAAATGTAGCAGCATCTTCTTTCAAAGCCTTCAGCTCATTTCGCAGCTTCATCATTGTCTCCGTAACCATCGCTTTCTCGTTTTCATACTTGCTTTTTAAGTTGGCAAGGGCCACCTCTGCAGTCTATTGTTTACCAAGAAGAACAGAAATGTAGTGGTTAATGAAACATTTGACAAAGTTATTATCTAGGAGATTTCAAATGGCCATTGACATAATGAAATGTTTCCTTAGTACTGGAATGTTAACATTCTGTTCAACTTCTCTAGTAGAGGTTAAATAAAATTTCATCTTTGAGCACTGGAAATAGATGGGACATTTGGGGCTCCTACTACCATTAACCAAGAAGCAGCATCTGGGAAGTTACAGAATATACATTTAATGACACTTATCTCCAACTGCTAATAAAAATCAGACATTACAGACTTCACACAAAAAAAGTGTATTTACTATCTCTCTATTTACACATATTAACCCTTATCTTGCATTATGTCTGTTTTACATTATGGTACATCATTATGCTAAAATACAAGTGAAAAAAAGAAAACTGAAAGTAGGTACATATTTCTTAAATACAATAAAAAAACAAAAAACTTATATTATTTTAGAGGAGACAATGAAGCATGTCAGGTTGTCTTAATGTCAGTTATTTTCATCTGCTGCACTGCTAATGTGTATCAAAAGGCATGGCCCAGTCCCCAAAGACTAATTTTACCTTTCAACCCTCTTATTTTGTCCATGCTCTTGTATCACATCCTCATCTTGGAAAACTTTATTAGCAGTTTCAGAGAGAAGAGGATATGAACTTAAGAATTCATTCAAGTAGAAAATAAGATTTACCTCTTTGCTTTAGGTTTCTTACATTAAACATAACCTGATATAACTCAGATAGATTGAAGTTATCTCAAATAAAACTTTCATGAGTATGTGACAACCAAAAGCCAGTTAAAGCCCCAACATGCAGCTTCACAGGAGCACAACTTCGTGCCTGTGCTGACACAGCCTGCCTCTACTCAGCGTTGTGCCTTACAGGTATCAGGAAGAAGAGCTCCACTGAGTTTAAGAAACAGCAGTATGTCCTCAAAGACATACTGTTCCTCTGTGCTTAATAACCTAACTATGACCCTGAGACTACAGCTATCACATCTGTAAGACCTGCTCACCTGTTTGTTGGCCTTCAGCACAGTTCTCAGAGTTGCTATCTGTTCTCTCTTGGTGCTCAGCAGGGACTTCAGCTTCAGGATTTCTTCCATGAGAGCTTCCTTGTCTTTGTCCACCACTGGCCCAAGTTCTTGAGTGGCAACTCGCTGCCTGGACAACTCAGTTGTTCTGTCCACAGCAGCTTGCAGGTGTTTGATCTGATCCCGGATTATTGCGATCAAGTTGTAAATGTTCATTGGTTCCTTCCGAGGATCTGACACAGGAGATGGCAGAGATGACACTGGAGATGGGCTGCTGTCACCGCTTCCATTCTCTGCCTTTCCAAGCTCGATAGTTAACAGCCCCTTAGAAAGAAGAATAGGAGACCTCCTTCCCTTGGTCTCTGGACTACTGCGTCCTCCTTTACCTTCCTTGTAGTAATCCAGCATCACTCTGTTTGGAGTTTCATTGTTGCACATGCAGACATGGTGGTACAAGTTGGCCAGTTCCTCACTGAAGGTGACCAGCTCATCTTGTGCCACACTGAGGCTGCCCTGTGTTTCTCCAGCAACATCACTGACTTTCTTCAGCTCCTTCTCCAGTCTGGCCACTTGCTCTCTATCATGCCTGCTGGATTTTTCTAATGAGGCGATCTTTTCAGTGAGAGCTTGGCTCTCAGTTTCATATCTGCTCTTGTCTTCCTCATACTTAGACTCACATTCTTTGTATTTCGTCTTCAGATTTTTAAGTTCTTCTTTTAGGTCAGTAATCTCTGCCACAGCCACTTTGTATTTGCACTCCAGGATCTCTGGCCCATTGATGTCAACTTCATAATAATCTCCATCTTCATGGCTGTCCCGGTCCTTCTCGTTGTCGAGGGCAGACTGACGCTCCTTGCTGACTTGGAGCTTCTTCATTGCATTCAGGTTTTCAGTAAGCCTGCCAACTTTCTCATGCTGCTCTGAGAGGGCCCCTCGTGTGTTTTCCAGCTGTTTCTGAGACTCCTGTAGTGTCGTTAACAAATTCACCTTTTCTCTTTCCATCTGAAAGGCATGAACACAGACATCTATATAAAGGAAACTGTTCCACTAAGTGGTTTTACTGTAAGAGAGACAGAAGCTTAGCCAAGGTGCATGTGGTTACAGAAACCTGATCACTTGTACATTACTGAAAAGGCTATTTCACATATTCTAAACACAAAAATAAAACAAACACAACTGTTGCAAGCAGTGTTCCTCCCCAGTGTTTCTAATTTCCACTCTAAAATGTGCATTTTCAGGTTTCTCTTCCATAGCTCATGGTCTCCTTGTAAAAAACCAAAATCATTCAGCTGAAGATAAACTGAAATTTACTGTTATCCTGCAAATTGTCAAGTAAATATAAGAAGACAAACAGTCTATGGTGGAAGCTTGGAGCTTTGTTAAAATAGTCTAAATTGGATTAAGTGAAAATTATTACATGGACACAGAAGACCATGGACATAATGAAAATTTTTCAAGTTTCCCCTCTGAAAGTTCTAATTTTGAAAGAAACCCATTTTTTCAACAAAGGCTTTTTTATTAGAGCTCCGCCAAAAATATCAAAAATAGACAAAATAACCCTAAACATTTCTAGGTGATGTAAATATGTACCTTGTTTCAAGTTCTGCTATCTCCCAAAAGTGCATATGTAAAACAATAATGCTTGACACCAATTAAAATTCTGGAATTTTAGAACTAAATGTAAAAAAACAACTATGGTGTACAAAACTCCTTCTGATGAAGGTGACTGGAATAACTATCCATTTTTGAACAAAAGACTTAATCCGTTGATTAAGTTTCTTGCTATGGGTGACACAATGAAGGGGACACAGCCTATACTGCTTCCTACAGAACATGATTGACTTGACCTTCTTTGAATAAAAAATAAAAATAAAGAGTAAATGTTTGGCAGTATAGAATCTGTAACAAATTCCAAAGCAATTAAAGATTTTACAAGTGTAGATCATACTATATGGTGTACATCTGAGATGCTGAAAATACAAATTTCCATCTGAAAAAAACGAGCAGCTATTTAGAATTACAGTTATTTGGAAAATACATTTACCTGTACAAGCTGTTGTTTCAGCTTCTGGATTTCAGAAATGTTTAATTCACTCAGAAGATCTGAAACCAGACTTGGTGCTGGAGGGAAGCCTTCATTTTTCCTGGGCGTTGATGTATTCTTGCCATTGCTGAGTTTGCTGAGGCAATTTTGTTCAAATCCATTCATGATTTCATCATTATTGGGCTCTGTGGCTTCATCGCTGAACTTCAGCCCATCCAATGAGATGTTCAGGTGACTGTTGTACATGGAGTCATTGATGTTCATGTAGTGGGACAGCTCCTTACGAAGATTGTTCTTCTGCTCCCTCTCTGTCTTCAGAGTCTCTAAGGCCTCCTCAAGCTGGCGTTCAGAGATCTCCTTCAGCCGAATGGCATCTTCCAGCTGGCTGTTGAGAAATTCTGTTTCTTCTTCAAGCCTTTTGATTTCGTGTTTCAGACCTTCAAATTCCACCTGAAAATACACAAATAGGGGAAGAAAGTACTAATGAAAACGTCTGCCTGCAAGACACCAAGTAATTTTACTTCTGAATGTTTTTCATTGAGTGTGGTGAGAAGGGAATGTTTTTTTCAGTTCTAAAGTCTAGTTTTTGCATTTTAACTGTAACCACTGCCTGCTTACCTTACTAAGACCATACAATAAAATTTCTAAGCAAAGTGTGGAATGAGCTGACCTCCTCCAGCTTAATCAAGATAGCAGGCAGATGCAACACTTGATAGAGGCATCACAAAACAGGCTTTCCTAGCACTTTATGCAAGCTCTTCTCATGTTTGATTAACAAATTCCCTGACCAACCCTCCCACAAATTTCAGTCTCAGTATTTCTCAAACCCAGCATCTCAAAGCTACGCTTCCAATTCTCTGCTGCACTGCAGTTAGAATGTGCAACTGGACTTAAAACTGTTGAGGCACACCTAACTCTGCTTTTATACATTCAAAATACGATGTTCTATTATTTCTGTCATCATAATTCCAGCACATCTTGAGAGGGCTACAACCCAGGCAGCTAAACAAAATTTTATGGCGTGCTTTAAGTTTATACCTCTAAGACTCCATTTTATTTTTTAACCTCTCTTGCACTGAAATTATGAACACCAACATGAGCATAACATTTTAAATCTATTAAGAAAAAGCTTACAGAATACCCTTTCTTACCTTCAAAAGAGAAAACTTTATAAATTATATATTCCTATTTTTTGCTAGCTATTAAAGGCATTTTAGGTGCCAATACGCACAATAGTGCTGACCCACATCTAACTGAGAAAAGGAGGATCCAGTCATGGTAATTCTGTTTGGCAACTTAAGCCTGGAAAAACTTGATGGATTCTTCTAGTTATGTCAGTGGGATAACTAAAGCTTAATGAAATTCATCAAGTAGGATTATGACAGAGTAGAAAATGAAATAATCCACAGCCATTGAATTAGCTCTTGGTTCTCAATACACCCATTGAACTCAAATATTTAAGATTGCAGCATTTTTTCAAAGGTCCCAGAATACAATACCAGTAGTCAATAATTACTAGCAACTGACAAGATAGCATCTGCAGTTAAATTTGGCTCAACCCAGAACGACAGCATTCTTGAATATTGTTATTTTAGAATGTGAATGCAGAGACAGGAACTTTTACTTGCTTCTTCTAAAAGTATAAACGAGACAAAAATGGTCAAAATCAAAAGTAACCAACAACATAACCTGAAATTCATCAGACCACTACCTCTTCCAGCCTGCATACGTAGAGCTTAATAGCCCCTTTTCCCCTATCACATAATGCTAAAGTCCCCCAAGCGGCATAATTAGACCAGGCATAGGCAGGTGAGAACAGGTTCAACCTGGAACCCTCTTTTGGGCACAGTGAGGCCAAAGTGATAAACACTGGTGAGGAGTTTCACCTGGAAACACATGAAGTACAAAGACCATGTCTAATCTAATTACCTCCACAAATGCTAACTGAGGGGAATTCTTGAGTTGTTCCAAAAATGCAATTTTCTTTTCTAAGATTATGAACATAGCTGGAACTGTGCACTGAAATGTGACTTTGCGAGTTAAGGTCTGACGGTACAAAGTAGTTATTGACTACTGATACAGTTCATGAAAGTAGCTAGAAGAGAGTATGGAGACCAGGACTGGAGACATAATGCAAGCACTAAGTAGCAATATAAATATATGTTCAGAAATATACCCAGTTACAGACATGGTAAAAGAGGATGGATGGTGAATATCGCACAGGTTGAACCAAGTAACAAAGCAGAGCGGCAAAGTATTAATCAACTTCTAACAAAGACAAAGAAGGCAATGGAAGGACTTGGAGGTCAAAGTAGAAGCAATACAGCCTCAGACTGTGTAGGAGCAGTCAGAAAGGACTTAAACATTTTTGGGATAACTGTTGGTACTAAAATTTTGTAGTTCATAGTCTCAGTGGTAGTATATATTTGCAGAAGTGGTTGGATGTTCAAAGAATGAGACAGGACCATGCTGTAACACAGGAATTAACTAGAGCTATGAAAGCAATGCTCACTATTTTGAAACACTTGCCTGGTTTTGCTTCAGGACAGACACTTGTTTCTGGAGACAGATGTTTTCTTCTTCCAGCTCAGTGTAGTCTTGCAGCAAACGGGCTTCTCGGAATTTATATTCCTTAATATCATCTCGCAGACGGGCCCTTTGGATCTCCACATTCTGGTTGACCTAGGAAAAACAAACGAAGCCCAAAGTGAGGGCAATTTGGTCAGCTACAATTACATTTTGAGATTTCATCTTTCCTTTTGTGCACTAATCAATTAGAGTCTATTCAAACAGAACCTCCCCCCAAATCAAATTACAGAAAATGAAGTCTTACACAGTAACTAGATTTTGTTTTCTTGCTTCTCTTACAAATTCTTACTCTACTTCTGACAATTAATGAGCAGGCAAATCAACATTCATACATGTTACATGTATCTCACTGACCATAAGCAACAGATGAAAGTTTACCAGATTGGAAGTCAATACCTGCCTCCACTAACACTTAAATGAGATGGGGCTTCTCATGAGAGTAAGAAAAAGATTCAGACAACTCCAGACACTCTTATTTGTACTTGTATTTGCTCCTGCTTTTCATCAGACCTTTTCCTTATGCCTAGTGCAACTGTTTGAAAATATGTTCTAATGAATCCTTTTGAAGAAAGAAATTGAGCTAAATCTGAAATGAAGTCCAAGATTTCAGTCAGAAAGAAAGAACAACTGTGGTGCTGAGTGTGTGGTGCTGAACAACCTGGGGCTGAGTGTTCCCTCTCTTCAGCCCCAAGACTTGCACAACACCTCAAAAAAAATTTAAATCACTGTTCTGGGATACAGGAGAAGGAAAGATCAGTAGATGGCATAGTGTGATCTTTAGACTACTCATGAATACACATGGATGCTTCAACACACTGAGCTGGGACGTACCCAGCTATGTGAATGACTCGCTGTACTTACCTATGTGTTATTTTTTTCCAACCACCATCTGTTCGAGTCAGATCTTTAAATATTTAATTAAAGTTAAAATGTTCCAAAACATTAGCAAAAATATCTTTAGAGGAAAAAGAGGCAACAGCTGCCCATAAAATAGTATCCAAATATGTTAACAATCCTACCTGTCAAGCGACAAAACAGTTTTCCAGCCAGTTTCCACTCAAAACACACACCCGTGAAAGAGGCAGCCTATCTACTCAGCTATTTAGGTGACACCATCTTATTTCCGTTTTCATCTACAAAGCAGCATAGATAAAAAGACTTCATCCTCAGGTACATAGACTCAGATTCCCTTAGTATTCTCTGTATTGTTAGAAACAAAAACGTCAGCAGCAATACCTACAAATGAATGAAGTAAGGTCTGAGTCCTCTCGTGAGTGTACAGCAGCAGTACAGAGAAATAATACACCACAGGTATCAACAGGCATGTATAGAGAGCTGAGAGATAAAGGACATGGTTTTGGAGGGAGCATACGGCAAGACTTGCACCTGGCACCTTCTGAACACCAACTCAGAACCACCTGCAACTGTAAGAACTTAATGTAAAAGACAGCTGCCTCCCCTGACAGACATTAGGCTATATAACCTTGCCTGTTATTTTTTTTTATCTGTGAAGAAGAAAGCACTGCTTCCCAGTGCACTGAGAAGCAAAAATAAACATTCATCACTGAAATGAGACACTGTGGTACAGTAACACAGATGAAAAGTTGCTACACCCCATGTGCCAAGCGAGCACCACTCTTCTCTGCTGGTTCTTTACAGCAACGTCGAGCTCGGAGTCAGAGCTCGGGGGATTCTCCCTGCCCTCTGTATAGATGGTTTTGGCTTTGAGGTTACAGCAAGTTACTGCAAAGCCAAGCCTAGGCTAAGATGCATCTTGTGACTCCACTTGGAAGCTACCTGGCAGATTCATTCAGCTACTAGCCAAAGTAAAAAAAAGCTGCAGTCTAATAAAAGTTTTAACACATACCCCAGTCTTAGAACTGAAGCTCTGTAACTGTTTATCCAGTTAATGCTGTTTCAATAGCACTTTCATCCAAGAATCTAAAGAATCTTTAAACTCTTCTGAAGTTTCAAAACACATTTCCCCAGTCAAGTACTGGCTCTGCCTTTGCACAAACTCAGAGCTACGGCAACGATACATGGCGGTAGCTGAAGGCTGCAGGCTGACATGAAGTCAGGTCATAACTTCCTTCCTCTTCGTAAGGACTGCACCGAAAGCTCTCACCTTCAGCAGAGAAAGCCTCCAGCCAGATAATCCCTCCTGTTTAACAGCCAAGACCACGAAAGGCTCTTGCATCACTCCGAGCTCCATACAAATTAGGAGCTCTTCCCTGCAATTCTCCTCATTTCCGGGTCAGAAACACAAGAGGAGACCTCCCACCAAGCTGCAGGGGAGCTTCTCTCCCCTTCTGCCCCCAAACACCATTCAGGTTGTTTGTCCACGGATGACCTAATCTTTGCACAGGTCAGTGCCTGGAAAAATCACTGAAGCCATTCGTTTTTGGAGAAAGAAGGGTTTCTGTCCAATCCTGTCTATTTAATTCAGAGTAACACTAAGAGCTCATTATTTAATGTGAAAGTACTGCCATGCTCTGTCTAGCACATTAAAAAAAAAAATCACTATTTCAATGTGCAGAGGAAGGGCAGATTTAAAAATAGCTCCTTTGTTTCCTGGCTGGAGAAAGAAGATATAACCTAGATTTATTGGCTGGTTAGCAAGCAGTACCTTCAGCTAGCTCTTAGCATTTTCCTGTCAGATAGATGTGTGTGCTTGCAAGCTGCAAGGCTAAATGGGCACCATGCTATTTCATACAAACAACCAAATGTCAGGGTTGTTTTTCTTTGTGGAAAAGAAAAGCCACTGCCTCCTTTCTCAAACAGATTTCTGTATTATCCCCACCCAAAATAGTATTCACGTATTTAAAGACAGACACACGTACATTTCAGATGTTCTCACAGGAGCTGTTTTACGTGGCTAAAGTGCACAAAATGGTGAGCTGACCCACAGATGAACAGATGAGTTTGAACCAGAACCTTTCTGTGATTTTAGTATTTCTTGATGCTTCAGTGCCTTAGAGGTTTCTTCCTTCTTCCTCTGCCCCAAATAACACTGAGGTTAGGAGAGAAGAGGACGCTGGAAGACAATGACGTGCTTGGCTAGGCTCTCAGCTATAGGGAAAGTCGCATCTCCACCCTAAGGAAATCACAGGGCATTTACAAAGCATCCTTACCACTGTGGGGAGGATCACTGGCCACAACATCTTGTTGAGGGGCTTTGCCTACCCGACAAAGCCCCTCAAGTCCTTCACCCAGAGAATATTCGCCCTACACAGAAGCCTCTCATCCATCCTGTCCAGGAAAGTACAGATGACGAAGACAACATTCTGGAGTGATTTCACCTAAGGCCACAGACCACTGTGACCCTGCTGCTAGAAAGTTTGTCTGAATCATTTTTTTCCTCTTAGCTTTGCCTCAGAAGAGTCCTGAAAGGGGCACCTTTTAGCAGCACAGGTGCTAGAAATACAGGGATTTCCTCAGCCATGAGTGAAGGACTGGTTTGAATTGGCTTTGTCCGCGTATCAAAACCTAATTACTTCCCTTCACAGAGCAGTGCCCGAAGCCTGCTCTGTAGCACCTGGTTTTCTAGTGCACCCTACGATATAACAATGTGTATAATCTAAGCATGAGAAGTAAATTTATTGCAAAAAAGTCTCAGGTAGCTGATTCCCCCCCCCCCCCCCTTGTTATGGTTATTACACAGCTCTGGACATCATTCAGCCTCCAGCAGCAGCCAGAGGATGGTTTTGTAGGCGATGCTCTACTATCGCTAGCCCGATGCTGGGTTGCACTTAACTCCATGAGCTCCTGAGGCTGTGGATGAGCTCAAGTTCCTTGCTCTAATAAACATGCTCACACCTAAATTTACCTGTCATTATTATGAAGAGTCAAAGCTTAGTTTGCCCAAACTTATTACTAATTCTAGGATTGGATTCAAGACTTTGTGCAATAAATATTTCTAGATATGATCATTCCCTTGAGTTCTTCGTGGGAAGGGCTCACAAAAAAGGATGCGACCCCTCTGGAAGAAACATAGCGTAGTCAGAATGGATAGCAACTAGCATATATTCTGTTGTTATGGGGAGAAGAAAACAATAAAACAATCTCTTGGCGATTTTATTAAATATCATCATGAACATTTAGAATAATAATCCCCAGCCATTTATGTAACTCAGTGCCTTCTTCGTCAGCAGCTTTTTGAAGAAGGCATTTCAGTAAGTGCCCTTCTGAACATCGCTTTCATACTCACCGCTGTCATCCCAGAAGAGCCAACCTCAAAGCTACATCACCTACACCTCAAGAACCAACGATGAAATTAAGAACTCAAGATCTGAACCACAGTGTGACCAGAGGCTGGGAGAAGCAGCTTTTCGGTACATAAGCCCTGGTGGTGTGAAGAGAACATGCCAACAGCGTGAAGGCACCATGGCTAGGGTGACTGCAAGCTGGGAAGAGAAGCATGTGTATTTCCCACACAATCCCTGTTCAAAATTTCAACTGTCATAACATGCACACTCTCTCCACACACTGAAAGCAGGGAAATGGAAGATCCCAAGAGGCAGGCGCAGCCCACAGCAGTGTCTCACAGGCAGCAAAAGCCTTGAGATGGGAGATGGTTTTGGGCATGACCCCCTCACGCTGCCTCTCGCCTATGGGCCCAGCGCTCAGCTACCTGGAGCTCTGGAGGACGGTAAGATGAGGTGCTGCAGGCATTCCTCACTGATTCACAGGCCCACTACTAACCACATGTAGCCATGCAGGTTAGTGTACATGCCACTTCTATGCGTGTATGTGTACAAGGGCAGCATATATGGTTTCTTCACATTCTATGTGTCCCCACCCCACTTTTTTTTTAAAGCCTTTTGATAGAAGACAACGATAAGTTTAAGTATTTCCTTCAGAGCTTTATCATTATTTCCTTGCCCATTTTTCATGCTCTTGTTCTACATGCAGGAAAATATATTTCATAAAACATACACACAAAACATAACTACAGCCCCAAACTTTTGTTCCGAAGGATATTTGTTCAACCATTCAGTCTATTCTCGCTGACATGCTATAGCCATCCACTTACTGGTACATACTTATGATAGCAGTTATACTTTGATTCGATTTATAAACCACAGACATCCCTC